GGGGAAACTGCCGTGAGTTTCCGTCGGATTACACGGCGAATTAGGCAAGCTGGGATTAGCGTTACCCAATTTTCGCGTAGTTTCCTCTGATATACGAAGCGAAAAATATACCTACCCACTTCCAGAGGATCCTCAAAAATGTCTTTTTTGAACGGAATAAAATATAAAATTTGGTAGAGTGAATTGTAAGAAGGTTCATCAAAAATTAAATAAAATTTTAGATGTGTTTAAAATACGAATATATCTATAAACAAATTTCGGTTTATCTAATGTTATCCATGTAAAGCAATATTCTTTGGTTCTCTCTGTTGTTTTAAGAGGAAGCTAATTAGATAAGATATAGAGAACTATATTTATTAATGTTAATTTCACCGCGAGAGATTAAATTGTGCAAAAATAAAAGGATAGGTACTTATTTATAACACTATGCAATTTCTTTTATTCTTATTTATTTATAATACCGCATTTGCCTTAGTTTTCTTCGGTTTTTTTTTGTTAGATTATTGCTTTCTGACCTGTCACGGGAATTCGCTACATTTCGAAACGAGAAACGCAGACGATTGCGCGACGATTGCACGATAGAGGCTCGCTAGCTCCAATTTTCGACAGGGCGCGATGAGAGAGGATCGAAGAGGGATGTTCTTGGACGAGAGGACGCAGAGGGAAATCGGAGAAGCTGTCAACGGAGCGCCATGCATCTGCCACTTACCCGCGCCACCGCCCTCGATCGCGGGTCTCGGGGTGTAGTCTTTTTTCCCACAGTGACGCACCACTTCGTCACAATTATCGCCATTATTCAGGCGCGAGGAGAACGAGAGAGAAAGAGAGAGAGAGGGAGGGGGGGAAGAGAGAGAAAGAGTGCGCGCGTTTTAACGCGCAAGCCGCACGCACAATGGCCCAATATATGTATCTGTACACGGTATCGACTGCATCTTCACACAGACGCCATCGCACCTACGGACGTGACCCGGGGGTCGTTGCGGCCACCGCTCGAAAAATCGATCGATTCTTCCCTCGATCGCTCGTTTTATTGTGTTTTGACAGCGACGGCGAGCTCTGGTTTCGCGCAACCACCGCCGTTCGGCTTTTAACACCTCGCCGCGCATCTCGTGCAGGCCGTTAGGCCGAGAGAGAGATCGATCTTATCTCTCGTCGACGCTTGAGTTTGTGCCCCGCGCGAATTCGAGAGCATCCTTATACTCAACCATCTCCCCCGTCTCGTCGCATCTCCGCGCGACGCCCGCCACTCATTGCCTTCCCTTTTGGCTTCTTCGGTTTCCTCTTTGGTGGCACAACGATCGTATCTGATCGGACCGGATATAGAGTTACGTGTTCGTTCTTCTGGATCCTGTTACGCGCGCAAGCACAAATACGGTTCCTGGTTATTTCGAGGAGGAGCCGCCTTTGAAAGGTGCGTTTTATCGCGCCTATCTACACGCGATTTTCACTGTTGCCGATAATGCAATGCTCCCCTCCCCCCCCGGCTACGTAGATCCGGGTGGTCCATCGTGGCGCGAAAAAGCGCGCAAAGTGGATTATACCGGGAAATTGCATCTTTTTACACGACGCGCGATATTCGCGCACATTTGCCGTTAAATGCGGCTCTAAGAGCCGTACTTACGTTCAAAAACGTTCTCCGTTGAATTTATTTACTTACACGTATGCGATTGCCTAGAAACAAATATATAAAATTAGCATAATTTTTCCTAAATAAAATTATACACGATGCACGCGCATGTGATGTACACAAGGTATTTTTTCTCGATTAAAACTTTAAATATTATATTAAATCTTATATTAAATTTCGCGTTACTCTAATAACTCTACGTTAGCGCACTTTTAATACAAACTGGAGCTAAGCTATATTTCTCTTAAAAAATATGATGCGTAAATAATTGTGTATATTAATAAATAAAAATAGAGATTTTTTCGCATCAATATTATTAAATTGCCTGTCAATTTAATTTGTGATGTTACTCCGGATTCAGTCTACAGCTGTGTTTCAAGATCGACAAAATTGCGGTGCACAGTTAACTATGGATTGTAAAATTCACGCAAAAATATTATTAAGCACCACATATTGCATTAGACCGCATTGGCCATTTTTATTGAAGTTTAAACTTTTCACGGTTTCGATTTTTCGTACTAACGTTAATAAATAAATCTAAGTTGCGAGAAAAAATTTTTGATATGATAATTACATAGACGGATGTGCTATTTTTTAAATTAGTTCTCTACGATCTTCTTCCTCCCAATTGCAAGAAACGTTATAATTATTGTTTAAAAAATGTTTTTAAATTTCTCTACCTGCAGTTGTATTACGTTGTGACTGCTAACGAAAATACAATTGTCCGTCAGGTTTTCAGCGATAAAACCGCAATAATATGCGTTATTTCCCAACGCAAATGCCGTACAATGTGTCTGCACCGCGGGCTCGACCGTGCGCATTCGCCGGCAGACAACGCGGCGCGATATCGTTATCTGCAGCCGTTGCACGTACGGGATCTACCGGGTGGTATGTATAACTCTGCCAACGTTTACACACCGCGCCGATACGCGACATTGTATTTCCGTTGCTAGCAGCGAGAGGCTTGGGCACGCATAACCGAGTCGCGAATAGCTGCGACGGGGGACAGCAGAACGAGAGGGTGAGAGAAGGGAGGGAATCAGATACTGGTTGCGAATCCGGGGAGGAGAGGGAACGGCGGACTGTTATTTGCAACGAGTCGCAACAATTGCAATCCGAGCCGATCGCGCACACGTCGCGCATTTCCCCCTCGTACCTCCCCCTCCCCCCGCCAACCCCTCGGTTAAGGTAAACGCCATATTGCTGCGTCGGCCCTGCCCGCCGGTGCCCCTCTTGCTTCCTGCACGATTGAAAATAATGTTTTTGTGCAAGCCGAAACGGCAGATATGAAACCAGCATGGCGGATGCTTACAAATAGTTGCGGGGCGGTGACTATACGTATAACGGGGCAACCCGGGCGCCTTTATCGCGCCTTTGTCCGCGAATCGCGCCACGCGGGCCGAAAGGATTCTCTTGACGGGCGAGAGCCGAGTGAGGGTCGCGGGTCTAAAAACGCGGAGGGGCGCCGACGGAAGTCTCTGATCCAGTCGTTCTTTCTCTCCCTCGTGCCCTCCGCGCGCGACGTCTTTAGGGCGAGACTGCAGGCATGTCGATTCTCCTCGATGGATCCGATTTCAGATCGGTTGTAGAAAAATCCAATTGCGGATGGCGTAAATCAACGAGCAAATTTACACGGTTATGGATCTTAATTTATTTAATGAGTTTGTGAAATAGGTATTCGTTTTAATTTGACATTTAGCCAGATATCTGATTCTGAGAGGATCTAGCTAATTGATAGATTTAAGGTTCTTCCCCATGTGATGGACGCAAAAGTCAGCCGTCTTAAATGTCACGACAGCTTCTTAAGCAATGCAACTTGTATAATTTATTATTAGCACAAATTAAATATTACAGATGCCCATCTGCGATTAGAGATAAATTAATTATTCTACATATTAATCTTCTTAGTGATATATAAATTCTGACTTTTATTAATATACCTTTTAATTAGAATGCAAAATATTACTTATAAAACAATTTCGCGAAATGTAATATTTATTCATCGTCAAGATTTTTTATTATATTAAAAGATTACATATGCATTTTTTTGCAGCAATTGCAGGAAAATGTACATGCATGAGATATCAAGTATATTTTTTTACTGCATCTTTTTTAAAATAAAGCGGACGTATAAAACTGGAGAAGAAAAAAGAAAAAAAATTGTAGAATATAAGGCTACAAATAATACAATTCATTAACATAATTAATTCTAATAAGCCGAATTTGTCAAGGACACAGTGCCTATCTGTACTTTTCACAACATTAGATACATTATTTGAAATTTTTATTTCAAATCAAAATCACAATCCGCACAAGCATCGGAATCATAGATAAGACCACTCAATCTCGAAAGATTGTCTCGATCTTGGTCGTCGGGCTCCATGACGACGAAGCAACACGCACAGAGCGAGAGGGCGAGAGCGACAGGTATATAGAGAGACAGAGGAAGCGGATGCCATTTCCGAAACTCATGGTACAGCACGCGCTCTGAAAACGGGAAACATGCATCGATCGTCTCTTTCTCTCTATCTCTCTCTCAACTCCCCGGTCCAGGATCGGCTATGATATCGAGCTACGTTAGGCCACGTAGAGATAAGAGAGCCGGCGATGCGGTGCGGCGGCGACGACGGCCGCACCATCATCAAGGCCGTCACCATCTCCACTACCACCACCGGTGGCCAGATTACGCCGGCCAGGATCAATATCGCAACGTCGTAGGCGTGACGGCCGGTGGTGGGTTCCATTTTCGTCCGACCCTCCGCTCTTCCATTGGACGGCGTTCCGACATTCAAGACTCTCTCTGCCGCACCGGGTCCCGGCGCAGGATCTCGTCGGCCAGACCGTACACTCGCTGATCCCCTCTTCGTGCCGAATGCCGGAGTGCTCCCCGTTGCCGATGGGCGGTCCCCGTTTAACGCGGCCGCGCATTGAGCGGAACGAAATACCCGTCAGCAAGGCAGTCGCACTCGGCCGAGGATCGTAAATCATGAACAGTCCGCCGCTCGGTGCGCATCGCGACAAACAGGGTGAAAACTGTTGGAAAACAGGGATTGCCGCGATTGTCGGCGGCGCGACGTCGTCGCCACCCCCGGAGCGATAATTTACGACTCCGACGTTTCGAAGTTCCCGCGCGTATCGGGAGACGGGTAATCGGGGTGGTGAGAGTTCAGTGCGCGGGGAAAAGTGCTCGGAGTTTTTTCGATTTTCTCCGATGTCGGTTCTCCAGTCCGACGATCCCATGACCACGTAGTCCGACGCGGCAAACCGTCGCTGACCGTGATCGCGACGTGAGCGTTCCTCCTCCTCCGCGGAGAGGACGAACTAGGTAGTGTCGGCCAGGATCAAGGATCGGTGTGATCGAGGCCTGATCGTCATGTGCAGCAACGAGAGCCCGCCGCCGGCGAAGGAGCCGTTAGCCGTCGGCCTGGGTAATCCGATGGCCGGCTTTCTCCCTGGTCTCGAGCATTATCGGCTGCACCTGTATCATTACGCGATGGCGGAACGACTGCGGCTGGCGCAGCAGATACAGCATCCCGGCGTGGCTCATTCGCCCTCGGGGGCGCCGACGGCGCATCTGAGCATAGGCCCGGGATTCCCGGCGCCGCTGCCGTTGTACCCGGCGGCCGCCGCGGCGGCCGGTTACCCTGGCCGATTGGCGCTCTCCATGGCGTTGCTGCATCCGCATCACCAGCGGATACCCGAGGAGCCGAAACCCCAACACAGTTACATCGGCCTGATCGCCATGGCGATACTGTCGTCGCCGGAGAAGAAGCTCGTGCTGTCCGACATTTACCAGCACATTCTCGAGCACTACCCGTACTTTCGCACCCGCGGACCCGGCTGGCGCAACTCCATCCGGCACAATCTCTCGCTGAACGACTGCTTCGTCAAGTCCGGCAGGAGCGCCAACGGCAAGGGTCACTACTGGGCGATTCATCCGGCGAATCTGGAGGACTTCCGGCGCGGCGATTTTCGCCGGCGCAAGGCCCAGCGCAAGGTGCGCCGGCACATGGGCCTGGCGGTGGACGAGGAGCCGGACAGTCCCAGCCCGCCGCCCTTGCCCGCAACTCCGCCGCCTCCGACGGCTCTCGGCCCCACGGTGGCCTCGCAACCGATATCCGCGTTATGGACGCCGCACCATCATCACCATCAGCAGCAACAGCAGCAGCAGCAGAATCCCTTCCAGAGTCAGTCCCTTCGACAGTCGTCCTTCCAGCCGAGGAAGCGACAGTTCGATGTGGCGTCGCTCCTGGCGCCGGACGATCAGCAGCATCAGATCGAGACGGACGTGCTGGGGCCGACCAAGTCGCGCAGATTCAGCTGCAGCGAGGATGAGCTGCACGACTTGCCGGAGGCCGATCAAGACGACGAGGACGTCGATGTCGACGTGGTCGCTGACGCGAACGCCTTACCGTCGCCGAGCACGCCGCCGTCGGCCAGTCCGGATTTGCCCAAGGTAGTGTCTCCGACCGCTCATTGGAATCATCAGAGTGTACAAAGCGGCGGTCAACAGCAGCAGCAGTCACAGCAGCAGCAGCAGCTGCATCTTCACAATCATCTACATGTCAGGAACTACTATATCCCGGCTAACTCCGCCGGCGGGTCCAGCGTCTAATGGAGGGCTCGGAAGAAGCCGGTCGGTTCGCGCGACAGGTAGCTGCTCGTGTCTGTCAAGTGTCCACGATCCTTCTTTTTTTTTAATGCGTAATTTCGAAAACTTCTTGGATACTTTACAGCAACATATCCCATTCGTATCGCGTTGTTTTTTATAATAAAATTATTTGACAGAGACAAAGGAAAGTCTCGATAAACGCGGGACTTACTATTATTGAGTGAATAAACTTTTTAATGAAAGGCGAGATAAATCTCAAGGGAAAATGCGATAAATGATAAAGTCAAATTTTCAAATTAATTTAATCCAAGCTTGAACGGAATTCTAATTGAAAATTGCAAAGATATGTAATATTAAAGAGTGAAAAATTTTATCGTAAACAGGATTGTTTCTGCATTTAATAAATTAATAAATAAGCGTAAATAAATTAATAAACGATGGGTTTCCTTGGCTTCAAATTGATCAAAGAATCTACCATTGCAAAATGATGCGATATAAGTGAGATACTTTGTACGCGAAGCTCTGAGGATGATAGAGACTTAAGCAATAACGATTGAATTGTAGGAGGAAAATAATTTAGACAGTTATAACGAAGAACTGTATGTTGCACTTTGTATTATTTTTATATAATTATATATGTTGTTACATGTATTTATATGATTATATTTATGTACCATTTATATATATTAATTATCTAAATCGCGCGCGTGTTACAAGTCATTCTCACAGCGCTCTATATTTTCAGACATATCAAAGACAAGAAAGAGAACGTCTGAAAAAGATATTCGTCAGACATTATAAATTAACTTTTGAAGATTTATATTGTCCCGGGATATGTATGTTTAGGTCCATATCATTCTCAGCGTTATTTTCAGACATATCAAAGACAAGAAAGAACGTCTGAAAAAGATATTCGTTTAGACGTTATAAATTGCCTTTTGAAGGTTTATATTGTCCGGGCGTGAAAAATTCGCGTGAGGTGACCTCCGAGATGGACACGGCGGAAAATTGTTGGGCGTTGTGTATCAGCAAGAAACCACGCGAGAAACAGATCAATCTATTGCCGATTAAGGTTTCTGGTAACGTCACCTGGGGGTCGCATTCTCGCGTGTTGCTCGTGCGTTCTTATATACGGTTGTTTTATGTCACTGACGGAAACTTTGCGCGACGACGCGAAGCTCCGATCCGATTTGTCGTTTTGTCGGAACTTCAACGGGAAAAAACGAGGGGAAAGGGGGAGGGGGGTGAAAAGAAGATGGGAAGAATCGTGTCTTCGCTAGATCTCAAAGACGATCAAAATTTCAAATAGATTATTGAAAAATTTCCGTCGGACTTTCACGATCGGCGCGTGAATGAAAATATTCAGACAATATGAATGTTCGATAGGGCCGTGAGAGTCCTGTGGAGGTATGTTTTAACTTGTTAGACGTGCTCACACGTGCTCCAAATTGCGAATTTTTGTATCGTTCAGATCCGAAGTTCAAGTATCTCATTTTCCTTCAGATTAATAAATGGAGATTCTCGCGTGATATAACGGCCAGCTGCTTGTCGACGGACAATCGACCTCCTTCATCGAGCATGAAGAATAATTCGAGCTCGGCAGTACGAACGAAGCCGTGTGCTCTGGGTCTATGTGCTCGAAGAACTTGTACGTGTATTATATAGATAGATGTCTAAGAAAAAAGAATTATGTATAGACTGGAGTTCGACGGTGGGATCTGCGAAGCATATGGGCGATCGACGATCATCGTACGATCGCGAATCATCGTAAGACGATCGGCGATCCCGACGCGGGTCCGTTTGTTTTAAAAAAACGATCAAACGCAAGCCGTGTCGTAAAATAATAATCTAAAGTTAATACGCTTATCTATACATAAAGCATCTATTTATAATGTCTATTGCCAGCACCTTTTTATATACCACCAGTAGAAAATCATAAGTTGCGTAAGAAGAAAACTGTGAAACGGAAAATCTTTTCAACGCCCGAACGCGACGCGCCTCGCGAGATATTCATATTTGCTTCACTTTTCTTTTTTCTAGACGAACGGCTCCGCGCTAAACGCTGAGAGATTCTACCGACGAATTTAGGATATTTTGTAAATATATACGAGGACGCGGCCCGGCTGCCCGGTGGAAAAGGCAGCACAGGAAAACTGATGTACGCGGGGCATTACGTCAGACTGATTGCGATCTCCGCTTGTTCATAGTGTAATATAAAAAGTCGTTTAGGGTCTAACATAGCGGCATCCCCATTGTATAATCCACGTTGGTAGAGACGGTAAAACGAAGATATCTATATTCTGTACAAACCCGAGTACTCCTATTCCCCTTCCCCTCCCCCCCCTTTCCACCGCTCCACTCCTCCTCGTCCCCTTGTATGTATGTATGTATATGTATCGATGTATACGTACCTGTGCGTATAGAATTCAGATACGCGGATGCGGATGTGCGATCGAGATCGCGCGTTACACCCGATGTGTCGCGCCGATGAGAAACGCAAGACCATTTTTTCACAGTTACCTCGTAAGCATTAACGCCCGGCGGCCTCCCTCTCTGTTACTGTCTCTCGATGCAACTGAACTTTAATAAAGTTTCTGTTCCCACGAATATCTTACCCGAGTCTCTTGGCTAATTGACCCGACTCCCTCCAGCGGAAAGAGAATGAAAATAATAATTGCATGACGTGCGTTTTTTATCGCGGAGCAAGGAGCTTACCGCGCGTTATTATACCGGTGTAATGGACGGCCTGATGGTTTCGCGCCGGTTCGCGTCGCGCAAACTTAAATTAATTGCCTTTCGCATTACTGAAAGGCCGTGATAAACATGTTTTCTTTTGTTATAATTAATTGTTTTGATTTGTTGCTCTAACAGTTACATCGCCGGATCAACTCCTCTTTCGATCTTTCGGCTCTCAGTTTTCAGACATTTTCACGTTTTTTTTTTTTTTTTAATTATATATGAGATTTCGTAGAATTCTTATTTTTTTTATAAATATATTTTTGTATTTATATTTCTTTGTTCCTTGTTTTTATATTCTTATATTTATACCTTTATCGTTTCATCTCTGCGTTTCCTTAATCCCATCAGGAAATGTTTTCCGCTGAACTTTCCTCGAGCTTGATCGATGGACGATCCTTGTGCGTGATTTGCGGTATTTATCCGGTTAAAAAAAAAGATATATCCGGAGTTGACAGAAACATTCCGCGCGTATCTGCGCGCCGTTAGACGACGGGAGGAGAGTGCCTGAGAAATCTATTTGTCGTGATGACAAACGGTCAGACTTGGCCATTAGTTAATGTACACAAGTCACAAGATGAGCGTTTGTTGCACGCTGGCGATTTGTGAGAGAAAAAAATTGTGTCCCATTCCCGCGAAAAAGACAAAAGCGCATTCCCAGCGTCTATTATCGCAAGCAATCTATTATTGCGCTATTGACTAATCCAGGAAGGAAACTAATCTACCCGAGTGACGTTAATTAAGAGACTCGTGAAAAAGAAGCTGAAGAAACCGTGAAACGCGTGTAGTATCACCGATCGACAGAAGTTTTCCCGATATTGACGTAACATTGCGCAACAATGTGTTCAGTCATATAAGATTTTCTTGAAATAGTTACAACACGTTTCAGTTGGATACTCGCGCTATTATGATATCGCCGCAAACTTTCCATTTAGAAACACGCGCTCAAGAGGAAAGTATACAGAATATTCCTCGTATATAATTGCGCTTTTATCGAGCGCCTTGTGTCGCCGCGAAAATAATGCCTATCAGCCGAATGTGAAGATCGAAACAATCGCGCGAGGGGACAGGAGGGGCGGCATATTACGCGTCGAGATTCGAGCTGATTGACAAGCGGCGATATCAATTTATCGATAGCCTTTCGTGTTTTATTCTGTAAAATCATTTCCACTCGGCGATTGTGTGCCGCGCCGCGCGGCCTGTCCGTGGATATATGTAGATAGGTATATATGTATGTAACTTTGTCAGCTGCCTGCTCGAATGCACGTGGATAAAGGCTGCTATGCAAAATATTAGCATACAAAGATGACAAGTGAATAGCAATATTTCAAATACGGTCTCTCCTGACGACGGCACATTTAACTAATGCCGAATGCTAACAATCGCTGCAACGCGTAAACGTATAATAATTTAGCGGGCGATAAGGCCCGGTAACGCGATATCGAATGACATGAATAACCTCGGTCTAAAAAAGTACGAGATTTAGAACACATCTAGAGCGATACATACTAACCGCCGCTAACGATGCATAATATTCGGGATACATTGGAAAATATTGAATCCTCGTGTGATAAAGAAATACTAAACTTTAATCTAATATTTCTTAAGAGTTTTGATTTTTTTAACGTAACGCTTTTTGGAATATATTTTTTATGAGGTAGAAGAGTTATAATTATATAAATTTTTATAATTTTAAAGTGCACGTATTTTATAGATGACAAAAATGCAAGTCTCTGCAATTCTATATATGCAACTTAAAAAAACCACACCAAGTTAGAAACGTCTATATAAATAGGGTATTCTCCTTTAATACGGCAGAAAATTTTTGTGTCAAACTAATCGATCGGTTTATCGTTTTGTGGTAGAGATTGAAAGATGTTTTCCTTCTTTTATACTATAAAAGGATTTAAAAATCTATTCAACTTAATAATTTATGGATTTATGTCAAAGAAGACCTTGTCTTTTTGTCTGGCTATACAATCATAAAAAAGTAATCTTCTTTCGCAAATAATATTGTATAAAAACATTTCAATGGACAGTTTATCCATTCGCTAATGGATACAGCTACCTACTGCGATTGAAAGCCTTTAAATCCCTAAATCTGTAAGACAAACTGAAGCAGAGCAAGCTTTTTATTTTCTAAAATCGTGCAAATCTTTTTTAAAAAAGATATCATGTCAAATGAGATCGTATAATTAAATTCATTTCTTGTGAATTATTTTCCAGTATTACATATTTATTTAGAAAGAAAAAAATATTTGTGCACT